CATGTACATGTTCTGCAAAGGCTAACATCCCAAAGAGAGAGTTCATCTTTTTACTCTTTTCACTTATAAGTATGTTTACAATCTTAAATGCTATTTTCATTCAAGTAAAAATAACTACTATTGTCTATAAAGGGTACTAGCACATCACTTGTTCCCCCTTTGTACTTACATTTGTGTTTATTTCAGTGTTTGAAAGGGTATTGCAATAAGAAGAATACTTCAAACATGATGCCTGTCATCCTCTACTTTATATCTAATAATAGAAAATAAATGCATGACTGAAACCCATTGTGTTATGACCTCCATTCTCTTTCCTAGTGTTACTGTATTCTTGTATCTTTTAAAGGATGCAATGAGCTTATGATTATGATCATCTGGCTGAGTGATGACCTGCAGCCGAGGCCCAAGGGTCCCTCTGAAGACTCCAGTTGTCAAGGGCAACAGCATGAGCTTCCCCCTAGCTGCCATGGCGACGGTGAGATGTGTAAGTAGACCCTGCAGCACTTAAATCACTTTAAATCCAATGATTACCTTATAAAACCTATACATAATCATCGCCCTCCTGTGCCACCTTAGGAAGAAAGAATCAGTTAACCGTTGCAACATATAAAAGCTTAATGAATCATCATTTTTAATTGATACAATATATGTACATCCATGTTTCAATCGTCGTCATAATGCAGGAAATCCCATCTATACAGTGTTCCAGGTGTTTGTCAGTATAAAAGAAAGGGTTAATTCATAATCACAACAATAATAATAATAATCCCGGTGTGGTAATACAGCATTCTTTCAAAGGAATGGCAGAAAGGGGACCGGAAAGCTAACAGACCCCCGATTCAAATCAGACGCAGCCTCACTGAGCGGACCGGTAAAACCAGCTGTCTCCACGGTAACCTCTAAATCTCCCCCCTGCTTGACCTGATTATTGTACACGAGAATATTGTCTCGCCTTTTAATTGTCTCTTTCATATAACCCATTGGGCCCCTGGCACTATTTTCTTACCGCTATATTTTACAAACCTAAGGGCCTCAAATTCTTCACGGTAGCCACTTTTCTCCTAGCTCCAGGGTATCAAAGTTTCACAATTTAACCCCCACCCTTTCCTAACCCCATCCATCTATCAATCCCTCTATCATGGACGACTGGTTGACCTGCCTCCCCCCCAATCAGTGCGGCTGCATATCAACCCCCTGCTGTGCTTTGTGCGGGTCCGTTTCCTGGCAACAGACAACAGCCATGACACGGCTCCAGGGCAGAGAGAGCCCTTTGCATTAAAGCAGCTCGCTCTGACTAATAGCTCAGTCCAGAGCTGCTCATATTCACGGCCATGACTCTGAAAGCTAACAGAGCAACGCTTCGAGTGAGAGTTCAAGCAGGCAGGCGAGAGCAGACGCTAACAATGAGTACGGGATTTCATAATACAGATGAAGACACCTGCACTACTTGAGAATCTCTTTATAAGTGCTTTAAATATCTTTTAAAATATATACTTTCAATATTTTAAATCCACAGTTTCTGTTACAAAAAGAGTAAAAAGGACCCCCGGATGCTATTTACAGTAAAATATACTTTACAGACTTGAGAGTTTTGATTGATTTATTTTCAGTTTGTACTGACTGAGTGGCGGTGCATGTTAACCGGAAGTCTTTGTGGTTAAATCAAAAGCTCAGTTAAGAGAGTGTGGCCACGCCATCTTTTCCCTGCTTGAACTGCTCACCTTTTAGCATCCTTTGTCCCCCCTCTGGTCATTTTCCTATTGACATCTTTACAAATATGCAAAGGTACACCCGTGTACTGCAACCTCAAGTTTAAAAAAAAACACATCTTTGACACGTCTTTGTAAAGAAAAATACAAAAAACAGGAACATTTGACACTCAAACCCCCCCCCCATTCAGGCTTCAATGTGATGCGTGGTGATGCCACTAATTGGTACAGTGTAGGGATATAACAGCAATGCAGCATTTCATGTTTTTAACAAAACCATTGTTGATAGTATGCCCTTACTCTGTGGTTTGTATTTATTGCTTGATTAGATGGCACGCGGGCAGGATTTCCCCCCAAATAATACCAAGTAATACAGGATGGTGTTGAAAAAAAAAGCCACAAATTAAATAAAAATGCAGCAATTACTGTCACCTTTGGCAAATATCCACCTCAAAAATAAGCCGTGGGTCGTGGTATGAATTAAACATTATGGTGTCATGTCTTGTACATATGCTTAGGATACATACAATCCAGGAGAAAGAGAAACTTTATCCATATTCATCATAGGAAATGTAGAAAAAAATCAAAACGATCTGTACTGTAATAGCAAAACAAGACACAGTTGTGCTACAAGTGCTTATGTGTTCTTGGCACCTGTGGCCTCAGTCCAGAGTGAGTCCTTCTGTATTTGCCACAGTGGAGCAGAGTCCTCACCAGAGGTAGAGAGAGAGAGAGGGAGTCCATGTTGTGGAGCTGCCACCCCCCCCCCAGACAACCCCCCCCGTTTGACTGCCAATGTGGCACATTCCTCCCTCGCCCTCCTCGTTAGGTGGGACATTCCAGGCGACTGCCATCTTCCGAGACGAAAAAATGAACTCCATCGCGATCGGTTGAAAAACCAGCAAAGATGACAGGTTGCAGTAAATAATACATTAACAACAATAGGCTATTTACAATCACACAAACATGTCTAACATCTAATGCAGTGGTTTAGTCACTTAATGAAAGCTGCTTTTCACCTTTGTCCCACACCCCTGTCATTCAAAATGTAAAAAAGCAACCAGGAAAAACATACAAATCTTTCTAAGACCTTAAATGTTGGCAGTTTACAATCAAGCCTGTGAGTGTCACCCCCCCCCCCCCCTCCTCCAAGGCTGTCGAGCATTGACACACATCATCTGAGTAACACAACACACCCACAGGATCTGTACATTTGTGCATTTTTGACTATGCTCCTTCAACTGTTGGTAAACGGGATGTTGATCGTGGCATACTGATATTTTTACGGCCGGATTCGAATGTGACCAGGGTTTTTAAAACTGCTAAAGTTAAGCTTTGGCTTCAGTAGCCTTCAGCTCGCGAGGTCAGAAACAGAGCATTGTTTTTTGGATTCTAAAGCAGTTGAAACTAAAAAGCCTACTCCAGCATACTTTCTCAAACCTCCATAGGACACTTGCTTTCAAACAAACAGAGAAAACCAAAATACAAACAAATGTGAGATTGTTTTTTGGATTGTACATCAGCAGAGGAATGGTTTGTAACTAAACATATACTCCGGTAGAAGTTGCATACAGTTTAATTACTAAATGATAATGTTCAGTAGCGGTTTTAAATGGGAGGTGAGACTTCACATGAAGTAGAAAACAGACATTGCTAGAAATAAATGCATTATAATCAGTGCACTTCATCTTTACAATTCAAATCTCCCCTTTACGAGCCATGCAGTCAACAAGGTATTTGAACTCCAGCGTTTTGATTCCAGTGCATAAAGCCTTGGCAAAGGCCATTTAAATGATACTACCTTTGTTCAGTATATGTACCAGTATGGATAACCACTTCCCCCAAACAATACATGGAGTATTTTAAATGTCATCAGGCAAAGATCTGAGATTGGCAAATGGCTCAGAATTGACAGACTTCACATTCTTCCACATGATCGAAACCACAGATTATTTTCCCTCTCATCCTTTATACCTAACCCAGGTCGTACAGTAACAACCTTAACACAGCGATAACTAACATAAAAGATATCTGCATTCCAAATCCCCAGCCCCACTGGCGCCTATATTTCAGAACTGAGAGATCAGCTTTACTCAAATGGTTCAATGTCTGCTCTGTATTCTAAATATCTTAAAACAAGCTGGAAAAAGTAGAGTGTGTCTCTGCTTCCTGCCTCATTAAGACTTTTGTAAGTGCTTCTGAAGGCCTATTTTGTCTCAAAATATCCTCTTTCAACTCTCCAGCAACAACCAAGTTCAAAGCAGATGTATCAAGGTGGTGTGAGGCCTCCTGACGTATTTTTGAAAACAGTACCGTTTGATGCTTTCAGTGCGTTTGTGCCTTGTGTTTAACTTTGTCGAATTTCCTAGAGAAATCTAAGGTTGAAAGAGAAAGCTTGTCAGATGCCAAAACTCCTCGAGAAGTGGCTTCAACACATGGCTTTAAATAAAGGAAACAAAGGGGAATAAGACTTAGTGCCATGGGACCTGACATATATCATCTTCAAGGTCAACTTCTGTCCGTTTGTGGAATAAAGCCTTTTTGTAGAAAAACAATATGATGGAAAGTTTCTTCCGAAGTTAGATGCGACATAAGGTATTCATTTTGCTGACACAGGTCGAGGTTCGATGTGGCGTTTGAGGACACGTTGGACAGGGAACAGCTTCCACCTGCAGCAAAGTCTCAACATGTCACCCTCACTGCAAGTTCTAACGGTGTCCTGCTGCGCGTTTCCTTCATCTGCATATGATCAACTTGGCAAAGGACTTAGTGGATGAAAGGATGTTGCACTCTGTACTGCATGGAAACACACTTCTTTCATCATCTGTGATGCCCATTGACGACCCTTACCACAAGCTGGTTGCTCTTCAGTCTTATGCCCCTCTTTCCCACTGAGATAAAGAAAGGAAACTCACTTCTTAGTCCTCCAGCCAGTGACGATTAAATCTGAATATCGAGCAGCATTCTAAGTTAGACAGAGGTTACGCTCCTAAAGATTTATGTGCACTGGCTCATGGCTAGTATTCATTTCCCTCCCATAGACCCAAATGAAATAAAGTACTCTAAAACAAAAACAAAATGACAAGTCTATGGTTCCACTGTATGCCATGTGCTAGGAGTTTCTCCTCTAAAAGTTATTTTTGCATTCAAAGACACATTTCATGCAAATGATACAATTGTTCTTTTTTTCAAACAGACAAAGAAAAACACATTTCTTTATATGTTCATTTTAAAAAAGAAGCTTATTTTCTTTTTATATATATATTTATATTTATATATTGTTTATAAATGTTTCTCTACACTTCCAGGGCAGGCACCGTACACACACACCAGGTACAGAGGCATGCCACACTTGCATTGCTTTTGCATTCTACAGTTGGTTGGCTGGCAGGCGTGATGTCATCCAGACAGTGCTGCAGTCGGTGAGTGTATCCGAACACACACACACACACATTTTATCTCTCTGCATCCCACCCATACAGTACAAGCATTGCAACCTGGCACCAGCCTGATCGTCACACTTCCTGGATGACATCAGAGTAAGGGGCGGGGTCTAAGGTTTTGTCCAACAAGCTTCAAATGGAGTAATAAAAGCAGTGCAGCAAGGCTCTGTGGCGCATGCAGAGATGGGCGGGAAATGGGCGTGGCCTGGGGCAAGCTAGGGTCAAAGGTCAGAGGAGGGTTCAGATGGAAGGTTTAGGGTCTAGCCCAGGGTTGCAGACAGATCCATATATGGGAGGTCGGGGGAGTTTAGGGGGAAGGGGTGGCAAGGCGTGGAGGGATTCATGACGATTACATTTGTATTCAATTTTTTTCTTTCCTTTTTTCAACTTATTTGATTTTTTTTTTTCATTTTTGCTTTATGTTTTACTTTTTACAAATGGTATGACGACGTAACTTAGGCTCAGAGTCGTGGATGGCTGAATCTACTGCTGGTTGTTATGCTTAGAGGAAGGAGATGGAGATGGAGAGAGGTGTCATGGGGGACGTTTTGTTCGCTACATGAGTCTCCAGAATATAAATACATGAGGAAGTGGGGATGCTAATACATTAGATAGTTATTTGCTGTTTGTGCTCAGTTACAGGTTTGCAAGTATTGCTAGTAGTCATGTCTTACCCAAGTTGTTCCCTAAAAACCTGGATTAATCTGTGGAGCGTAGTGCGCAGCTACTCTGTCGTAGTTTTGACGGTAAAATTAGCATATTACAATGTGGTAATATGTGTTAGAAAATTACTAATGATTAGTCAAATACTAAACATATTCAAAATGTTAGAATGTGTCTTTCTTCTATAAGTGAACAGTTTATAAATACACATAGAAAGTGGTTACTTTGATAATACTTGACTCATAGCAAGAAAGTTGCGTGTCTGTTCACGCGAAAAAAATAGGTTAATTCATCATACGCTGCTTATTAGGCATGGCGTTATGTCTGACCATAGCCTCATCAAACACACACACACACACACACACACACACACACACACACACACACACACACACACACACACACACACACACACACACACACACACACACACAAGCTCTGACATGCAGATATACTGTATCATGGGATCTGTTCCACACCTCCTTTCACCTCGACCAATCAGAGAGCCTCTCCACAGCTCCAGTGAGAAACGCAGGGATTAATAAAACAATAGTAGGGAGGGATCTAATTAAATCAGTGAGGAGGAGGAGGAAGAGGAGGAGTGTGTGGGGAAGATGCACTGCGTTAGGTGCATGTTCCGGTAACCATCCTGCCATCCTTCTCTCTCACTGTGGGGGTCAGTAACACACTTGCTGTGCTTCAATATGGCGTCTTGAGCGGCTGGCTGCAAGCCAAATGACTTGCTTTATATCCACAGAGCACACAATGTAACATTGAAGAGCTTTTGGAAATAGTGCGATCCACAAGCTCCCCAAACACTTCTTGGTGTGTTTGTTTTGCTCTCGAGGAAGCCATATCTGCCCCTCCCAACCAAATCCATTGCTTTGTCCACCCCCAATGACACAAATGTCTCACTGCACTTTCCTGTGCCAAACCCATCTGTTGGATTTTAATGTAGAGCGAGTGTGGGAGGGGAGGGAAGGCTTGAGGTATAGGGGAGGGGTAGAGAGGGCATCGTGGAGTATAATGAAGGGGAGCATTGATCACATCATCTTTAAACCAAAGGGGCAGGGGAGGGTGCCAGTTAAGATGTCGCCTATAAAAAGCCTTTTCTCCCACAGTGTAAAGGGGAGGGGCAAAGGTACAACAAAATATCTTAATAAAATAGAGGGAAAAAACAAACTCTTATTTAAAATGTAAAAGTATAAAACAAAAACAACAGCAAAAAAAAAGAAGCATAATAGGAATGAAAACGTTAGTGACTTTAAAGATGAAATATTGGTAAGTTGTACTCGGCGTTATCTCTAATGACACAAAATAAATAGAAGCTGTCAGAGGAGAGGACGCTGTCTGGGCTCTCGGGTGGATGAGGGTCTTCGCTCTCTCTGTCCCTGTCTTCTCCATCTCCCCCTCTCCATCTCTCCCTCCCTCTCTCTGTCACCTCTCACTCCTCACGGAGCTGCAGGCGGTAGCGGCTGTGGCGGATCTGGAAGAAGAGCCTCTCCAGCGGCGTGCGCCTCATCCCGGGAAGCCGGTAGTCCTTGCTCTGGTCCATTCGGCGGAAGCCCAGCGACTCGTACAGCTTGTGGGCGGCCAACTTTACAGCCGTCGTGCCGAGGACCACAGCGGCGTAGTTGTTGCGCACGGCGAACTCCAGAACGCGCCGACCCAGTACCTTTGCGATGCCTTTGCCGCGGTAACGAGAGTCCACCGACATGCGCCGCAGCTCCAACGAGTTGTCGTCCTCGCGGCCTTGCGCTGCCACGATCCCAACCACACGTCCGTCAAGCATTGCCACCCAGAAACAGGAACCTGACAGAAACAAGACACCATAAGTATGATTAAATTACGTTAACAAACGCTTAAAGTCTTAAATCTACATTTGGGGAAATACTGCAGAGTGATGTTGCATTTCCACTGCATCGTACACAATTAGCACGGAAGATTCTAATAATTGGTTTCTATTAGCAATAGATGTCTATACCTGGAAAGTGATCAGTTTCTTCGGTCCGATGAAGGTTTGAAAAAAAGACCTCTTACCAAAAGTACACAATTTGAGCCGAACCATGTTGTGGAAATGATGCGAGAACTCATGGCTGAACTTCAATCAATTAAAAATATGTTTGATGTAGAGGTATTTAATGGCAGAGAGCTTCACTTTCTGCAGATCCAATATACTTTGAAATGTAAGACCATATTTTAAATCTCTGACCGAGTTGTTGAAACCAAATACTTTCTTAAGTAGAACTTGATTACTGCTACTTATCAGAGAGAAATGGAACACCAATCGCACACAAAGCAAGCTTCATGATGGACAAATGAAAGGAATAATTGGAAGGAAAACAGTGGTTGAAAGGAAGTTTGAGGAAATCAAAATGAACGTCCTCCTGTGTCTGCATTAGCAGCATGTTGCATCATGTCCTAATGGCTTAAATGCTCTGAGAGGAGGGAGAATAGGAGAAGGGATGCAGGGCAAAGATGAATGCGGAGGGCAGGGACACAGAGCCTGACCGCAGCTAAATGGCATTCGCCACTCGATGAGACGCTGCTGATTAAAATGCGCGACAGAAAGGTCACTTAGGACTCTCAGACAAAAACATTGTTTTTTTCCGAAGCTCATTGTGTGTGTGCGTGTGTGCGTGTGTGTGCGTGTGCGTGTGTGTGTGTGTGTGTGTGTGTGTGTGTGTGTGTGTGTGTGTGTGTGTGTGTGTGTGTGTGTGTGTGTGAACCAAATATATCAGACACTTAAACAGACATTGGTGACACACAAATAAAAAGACTAACACACATATTGACAGACAAACAAAAGTTAGAACAATGCATACAAAATGTCAGCAGACAATGCTCCTCCACCAGAGTACCTCTAAGTGCTTCGTTATATAAACCCTTTTTAACATCGATTTACATTTGTGCTGCAATTTACAAGCTGTTAACTTTGACGCAGAGTGATAACACTTGTGAATTATGAATTATTTGTTGTGTTTAAATGGCATGTTCAGTAACAGTAGGTTTGTGGGACAAAGCCATGCAAAGTGAGCTACAGAACTTCTTTTGTACTCTACCTTGATTTTTCTTTGCTGCAGATTTTATGTTTTGCTTCAAAGTAGAAACCGCTTTGTTGCCTAATTTCCTTCACCTAGCATAATCTTTCAAGGACAATGACTCTTTAAACATCCTTTTTTTTATTATGTAACCATGATCAAACCGCGTCTTTATAGCAGTTTATAGGGCATGTGTTGGCAGAGGTTTTGTATTGAAATGCCATCTGTTTGTCGTAGTTAAAGTAGCTGGCTTGACCTTCCAATAGAACAAACATGTGTCCGTCTGTCCTAATATTCTCACTCTGTCCTTCTTCCCTTGCGTTTCCCCATCATTTCCTCTCTCCTTTTATTCCGCTGAATCTCCCACTCTCACACACCATGGAAAGAACACACGCACTCCAACAGGCGGTGGCATTAACATCATGCTTTGCTGCTGGAGTCCCGTGTGTTGGAGGGGATTTGATGCCCCTGCAGGCCTGTGTTAAGCTGATCCAAGGGGTCTCTGTTACTGAATCAAACAACTGTCGTGTGTTGGTTGCTGTGTTAACAGGAAAACCCACGTACTCCCAACCCTGAAAGCTAGACAGGGGCATGGCATCAATGAGAGTGTCTGCCTGTGTTTCACTAATCTCTCAGGGAAACTGGGATTTTGAATTACATGCGGGGAAGATTCAGAGCTCAGCGAATTACTAAAACATCCTGAATAACTGAAGAAAACACACCTGGAAGCATACTTTTACCCCAGTTAACATGTTATACATCACCCTGTCACTCTTTGCTGGAAGGACACCAATGATGGCATACTAGGCCACTGTAGGTAAAAAGAATATATGTATGTGTATAATATTCCCACAAACATTTGAAAAAATATGAATATTCTCTCGGATTAAAGTTGTTATTTTAGGGGGAAATGTACCAGAACAACTACTTAATTAAAATGCACATGACATCACACTTTAATCCCGGAAAATATCCACGTTTTTTCCTCTGAATAAAATCCCCCTTCCCCGTGAATCCTACACTTAGGCGATCAATCTCACCTGTCTTGTTGCCCTTTGGGGGCCGACAAAGTGTTGGTTTGTAGTTCAAAATGTGGAGCTTTGATTGATGACTTTTTAAGAGATTGTCTGAACGACTCAGTTTTACAAAGATGTAAGTGGTTAAGTGTCTTCCGGCCTTCACTAACACTATCGAATGATGTTTCATCATTGGCAGTTACTAATGCTGCAGAGTCAACTCCTGTGGCACTTTGCCTGTATCATTATGACCGTGTGTGTGTTGGCGTAGACGGGGGGGATACGCTTGCATAAAGCCCTCCTGACCATCTGTCTGACCTGAGCCTGTGCCAGGAATCAGGACAGCATGCAAACCACCCCTCTGTTTATCAGACCAAGTATTACTCAACACCATGTCTCAGAAACACTTGGAGCACATGGGACAATAAACTACACAGCAAAATAATTACATCTCCCTTTGCCCCTCCCCTCTGACTCTGCTTTTCTTGTGAAACCTGAGCAGGGTATATTGACCTCTGACTTCAACGCTCAAGGAGCATCACATCTGCTGAATCTGACACTGCTATTAAGCTGCATGGATTTAGCAAGCTTTCATTATTCCTGCCGTGAACTGCACTTCCTGGAGATAGGAAGATAGAGACAGACAGGGAGAAATGCAAAGAGCGTAAGGCAGGGAGAGGAAGTTAGAGGAAGCATAATGTTGTGTTCCAAAAGGCAGTATATGTGACATACTCTAGACCAGTGGTTCCCAACATGGGGGGCGCCAAAGATTGCAGGGGGGGCGTCGTTTTTTTTACATATAATTGTAAGGCAATACATGATTGTCACTAAAAGCCTTGTCTCTACATTACAATAAAATATAAAAAATAATTGATTCATTAATTTTTAATAAAAATTCAAGTTAGTATTAAAGACATAAAAAGAAAGAAATGTATAATTCTTTCTTTAATAGAAATGGTTCTTCTGCCCATAAAGTGTCCAAACCAGGGTTTTCTGGATAAGCACATTTTTTTTTAAATAGTCATTGTCCATGCCGGTTTCAGTTGGATTATTTGCCACAGTTGCTCCGATCAGATCGGTCTCCTCCATTTTGTAGATTATTTCCGATTTTTGAATCCACATAAACACATCGGCAAAATCCGGCTTACTTTGAGCATGTGTTTTAAACAGTTTAATCCCTTTGTNTTGTGATGGGCTACAAAATGCACAGTGCATTTCCTTAGCTGTGGATGAGTGCACTGACACCACTGACAATGCTCAGTTGCTGGTGTTTGTGAGTTTTTATGATGAGGCAAAGGGGGAGTTTCTTGAAGATGTGTTGGGCCTGACGAACCTCAGTGGACACACAAGGGGGCAAGACATTTATAAAGCAATAATGGTAATGCTGAATGAAAGAGGGTGCAGCTGCCTTTATTCATAACTGCAGCTGCACTGCGACCCTGAGGGATCAAGCACAGACACAATAACAATGAAAACTGCTGCATACAGATTATTTTTGTTTTTGCAACCTCGTGTGAATGACCGTAATAAACGGACCTTTGTCTTATTGAAAAGAAAATGTTGGACCTTTAAGATTTGTATTTGAGTACCCCTGATATAGAGGGAGTGACGGGAAGAGAGGAAATATGGACCTTGTTGGTTGGATATCTCATATTTAAGAATCACCCAACTAGCGGGTGTTACGGACGTACTTTTAGAGAGATTTAGTTTTCATACAGTCTTTTTATATCAAGGCATTAAAACAACAAACATACAGGGGGAAACAATAGGCCTTTATTTTGCACAGATTTCTTAAGAAATTCTACAAGGATATGTGAGGCATCAGGCTTGGCATAAATTGAGCTACCCTCAATTACTATAAGTATTCCCTTTTGCCGTGATTTGCTAAATTAGATGTGATGAGTCTATGGGTTTGGTCATAATTACATTATTTTCCACTGTGCTAATAGTTGTGTGACATTAGTCCAGTGCTGACCCTGTGATTAAAGCTCGCTGACTCACTAACAAGATGGTTAATTAACCCCGTTATTTTTACTGGGGTAGTTGCCACACTGCCCCTGTATGATCAGACTCCAGAAGGATCTAGAATTGGCCCCGAATTCTCCACTGGCACAAACCTCCAGCTGAGAATGTTGCTGTACTTTTAGAATACCCTTCAAAAATGTTACATGCAAACCCAAAAATGCACACCTGGAGACATAGGTTCACACTCACTCATATACACATGCATGCAGAAATACGCATTTTTATTATATCACCTGCGCTTCAGCTCGAAAGACTGCTTTTAGATTCAACAAACCGCAACGCCTCACGATAACAACCAGTTCTCTAGCGTCTGTCGGGCGAAAATTTAAGTGCGAGAGCTTTAAAGGCTTGTTCCGGATTTACTAAGTCAAGATTGTAATTAGACCTCCAACATGTGCGCAGACCTATAACCCACAATTACAGTGTGGATTCTTACCAAAAAATAACTCTGTCATGCCTCTCCTAAACCTCATGGTGTTGAGTGCATCACCAATAAAATGTAGCTAACAATAGCTTATCAGTTTATAGACACTAGCCCTCTTGTTGCCCCTCTAATAAAACACAAAACTGTCTTTTTTAAGATCCATGATGTAACAGTTGATCTCCCCTCATTGTTTTTACAGATTTGTTTGGAATCTGTGGTCTGGGCTTTGTACTGGATTGACATACATTTTTGAGCAGTTATGATAATGACCCTAGTCGGACCTACAGATGGCTAAATGAGCAATGCTGAAGCTCATCATCTCTTATGCGATTGCAGCTGAGTCTACTCGGTGTTTCCCAGGAACATCTTCATCTGCTTATGCAGGCCTGTTTCACAAACTATTAAGCGATCGCCAGACATTTTTCTCCCCTTTTTCTGTAAAACCTCTGGCTGTAACTTGGGTTGCCATGTGTGTCTTGTTAAGGGCAGTTATGACAAATGGCAGCAGCTGTACAAACTAATCTCTCTGTAGCTTTCACACATGGCGCCCAATTAACAATGGACCACTGTGGGGCCCTAATCCACGGTGCAGCCATCCTCTGGTCCTGCTCGCCGAGCCAACTGCCCCAGGAGACTCTTCTCCTCTACACTCCTGCTAGCTCGGCCTGTAACTCCACTCAGATGGGAGCCGGTGAACACAGAAGGCATGCCCCGGTTGGAGACACGGTAGCCATCTTGTTTGTTTCCATGTTGGGAAGCCTTGTTCCCGAAAGCTACAGAGCCTGTGTTTTATTTGAAACTCTGGAGTTCTCCGGGATTGGGTTACAGCCCTGAGAGTGTTTAGACTCAGATGTTCACATGCACATATAAACTCACTTATTCAGCTTGTGTATTAAAACACATGCACACAGCTGCAGTTGATAGATTTAGCAAAGTGGTTGCTGAACAGGCGGGTGGGAGCAATGTGTGTATGTGGGTGTGTGTGTGTGTGTGTTATAGAGCTTTCCTGTCAGTGGGCATATTTCCAGTAGTATGATGATAAACTGCTGTTTCTTGGTGCCTAAGATAGCTAAATGCATTGTGTAATGCACTTAAAGTGTGGGAGGAGAGAGCCTTAAACAGTGCATTCACTATCTCCAAGGTGTTATAGCATAAATACTATGCCATTATGAATGTAGCGGTATGTATTACCTCCCAATTACTTATTTGGGCTTTTTATCTTTGGATTAATCCCTGCTACTATCATACAAGAGTTTCAATGTGGGAAGTCTTTCTCCTCATCCAAGATTGTGTCAGCAATGCTTTACATGGCCTCGCCAAAGCCCTTTCTTTCAGTTTTGGATTACGTTATTATTTTATCTTTCAAAAACTGTAACACTGTAGGACAAAAGTCACTGTTGTTTCCTCATTTTTTTGACTCTGATTCTAAACAAAGCCACAAACAGGAGTTTGAGCCTCAAAAGGGGGGTGTTGAAGAGTCGACGGCCATCAGGAAAACGATGCAGGCCTGTGCCAAATCTATGACATGAATGAAACAAATGGATGAAGGAAAATGAAAATGGTTGGGGTGTGATCTCTGGCAGGCAGTTTCAAACCAGTGCCAACAGTTATGAATGGGAAACCGCTGCTGAGCTAATGAAAAAAAAAGAAATGAAAGAACTCACTTTTTTTTTATCCACCATCCAAGAATAATTAAGCGCGCGCAGGCCTTCTGGTGTGGCTGGAGAAAGCCACAAGACACTTGACTAACATCTCACCGCAGAGAAGGACAGCGAAACACAGATGGGGCATTTTGAAAAAGGCTGGAGTATTTCTTAGCTTTGAAAAGAGGGCAGTTGAAACTAAAGGTGGAATTGAAAACTGTAGCACTTAGGAAAAAATAAGTTTTATCAAAGAAAGTTGGCAACAAAAACACACATAAAATAAACTTAGGGTATTACCTAGTACATTGTTGGCATGTCCAACCATATCTGTTAAACTAACGTACACACACTCACACACACTCACATTGCATCTAGACATGAACACACTCTCAACCCTTAACTTAATCCCAGCTCGAGGTGTTTGGTAACAGGGCTTAAGGGAATCTGCAGGGATCATGTACTTCACAGTACTTAACTGTACTAGAGCGCTGATGCGATTAGTTGATGATTCAACCAATTTATCGTCAGAATGTTCGGTTACATTTTAATAATCAATGAATCCTCAGAGCTGTGAGGAATACCCTTCTTTTTTTATTTTTCATTTTAAGCTTGTTATTTGGACAAAATAAGCACTCAGTCAAATATAATCAATCAGTAATGAAAATAAAAATGAGTTCCAGCCTTGCGTTACCATGATGTTCTGTACTGTGTGTATCTCTCACAGCCCTGTCTGTTAGATGACATGATGGAAATAGCAGAATGGGGGCCAGATGTACGTTTATATATAGGACCTGACAAGGGTACAGAGCGGGACACCAGGCGGAGGCGTTGCATATCACATGCACACTATCACGTACACCACATGTACTGTATGTAAAGCAAAGAAAAGAACAACTGTTAATGATGCATGGTGGCCTGCTTCATGACACCACAGGCTCCAACGCTGAAAGAAGAGGAAGAGGCTAATTACAGCAGTAAGAGGGTATAGTTAAATAAGATTTGTGTTGTAAGTAAGGGTTAAACTTACACAGTGCTGGTCTCTAGGTTAGTTGTATTGCTTTTTGTGAGCGAGGACCCCGTAGGCGCGGACTTTATTTTAATCCTTTATCGACTCGCCCTGTAGCCAAGAACAACAACAATGTTTTTGTTTTACCGTTAAACCTTTTTTTAATCGGCATCTTGTATGCCACGAACATCACCCGGCGCTGACAAAGCACGCACTGTTTGGAGGCAAACGCTCAAAACAAAAAGTGGTTTCCCCATTATGGCAATCAAAGCAACGTTATCAGCGATCAACATATTCTCACCCAGAGACAGAGAGGAGAAGAATGCCCCATTGACTGATACTGCCTGCGAGGCCGGTCGCGCTGATCTCCTGAAGAAAAGACCAGTGTCGCTGGAGGACCCCCCCCACTGCCTCCCCACTATTTGCCTTCTTCCCTCTATATATGTCTCAATACTTGTGGGATCCGGGAAGGGGGGGAGCTGAAGAGGGTCGTGTGTGTGTGTGTGTGTGTGTGTGTGTGTGTGTGTGTGTGTGTGTGTGTGTGTGTGTGTGTGTGTGTGTGTGTGTGTGTGAGTGTGTGTATTGTCGAGGTGCTGCCGGGCGACTCTATCCCATGCTGGTGGTGTGTGTGTGTGTTGGGAGGCGGGGGGGTGAAAAGACGGAGCCGTCACCTGCCAGACTGCTGGAATGTTAATGCCGTAGCTCTGATAATTGGATTTTGTACACACCGTCTGTGAGGAACGTCCAGCAACTTTCCCCCTCTTATTGTTCGACCCAGCCCCGGACCCTCAATAGGGCTCGGCTATGTTTATACAAGCACTCACGTCTCAATAAAGACTGTTTACAATGCCTGTGTGTGCGTGTGTGAGTGTGTGTGGTGGTAGACTTCTGAATCACGGTGCAATCGTGTGTGACGGGGTGACTGAAGTGGAAGCAGGAGAGTGTCAGATTATCGAGATTTGGCAAACATTTAAGATATTAAGAGATTTGTTCTGTCTTAGAATAGGATTTGCCCAGATTTTAGGAGTGTTGCAGTAAGATTTTGTACATACTTGGATTACAGATTTGTCACAATGGGACCTTCAACCCTCATAGATGATTGTTTTGCTAAACTATTCATCCAAAACTACCAGCAAGCCTTCATTTTCGGAACTCTTTTGCACAGTCAACGGCAGGCACACCCACTTTGGGGTTAAAGGTGAAGAGGAAGTGCTCCCTATTGGTGGGATATGTCCGAGGCGTACATGATCTGGGATCATTAGGGAAGTTATGGCTCTTGTTTGCGTCGGGGGGAGCCTGGAATCGGGCCGGGAGCTGTGACGCACTGGTTTCCCTCTCGCTGGCCTCCCATGCTATTTCCACCCAGGCTGCAGCGGCTTGAGCTGGTTAAAAGTCTCGGCTGCACTGACCTGAATTCCTCATATTCACCTCAGAAGACCTTTGCCTTAGCCAACCAACCGTTATTTCCATCCCTATAGTCTTCCTATGCAATGAGCATTCCCTTTGTTTGTGTATAAAGTTCCTTCCTGTACATAAGGATGTTTGAAAAAAGCCATCCTCTTCCCAGCTGTAGGCCCTTGGAGCAGAACTGCTAAAAACAATGACAGAGGTTTTTTCTTTTGGCACAGAGACTTGTTGTGGTTAGATAAACAGCCACTAATTGCATTTAATCTTTTAAAGTAAGGTATTTGGAACAATTACTTTGATATGTTTACCAAACAGCTGGTGTGTGGATCCTTTTTTTCCCACCTCTTTCGAAGATGTAATGGATTTGGTTCACCTCGCTGGTTAGTGAGAAAATAAGATAGGCGCTACATTAACTTATGCATGGGTTTGTATTCAGGCTTCAACTGTTACAGAAATAACAGCATGAAAATCTGTTTAGTTTGGGCAAGATTTCATTAAAGTTAAATGACTTTGGTTTGGATGCCAGGTTTCTGTTTTGTGTCACTGCAACACTGTGCCACTTCTTTTTCGAAACAAATAGCTTCTCAAACAACAGGTCATTACCTCCGATAAAATATTAATTAACCACATTATTCTTACTTAGAAACATGTTCAATTAATTTGAAATCATCAGTGATTAAGTAAG